GACATGCTGCAAGGAGGGGAAGTATACAGCTACCCCATGATAAGTTAGGAACATACACAAAACCACAACTGAATACGATATCAGATAACAGGGCGCCACAATCACTTTAGTTGCCAATAATAAAAGGATTCCCCAAAAGAGGAAACAATCAATAAAAATGTAACATTCAATTTATTGAAGATCAAATAAAATCAATATTTAGGCAATAGCACAACACGTGCAAATATTGCAATATATAAGCCAAACATGGCAAAGAAAAACCCCTAGGAATAGCAGCTTTAATAAAACATGATTATGGTATAAAGTGCATGTGCTAAAGTGCAAATGATACTTTAGGAAAGGAAAGTGCAGGGTGCTTATCAAGCAGTTCAGATCAGCAGCTAAGTCACACTACTACACAGACTGCAGTAAAAGCACATATCACAAAAAAAGTGCATACACAGTAAACATGTAAAAAAGACTGCTTATACAAAATGATAGGGTTCTTGCTGGGGCTCTATGCGTTTCGTCGATCCGACTTCCTCAGGAGCTTTTGTCTTCTTCCTGGTCTTCTCTCTTTTAAATCTGCCGGTTCGTGCGTCTCGTTCTGTGATCGCGCATGCGCAGAGCACGTTGGACACACTGCTATACGTAATGACGTGCAAGCGACTGATATGCACATGCACGACCACGCTGGAACGCAAATAAACTTTATGAATAGTTTACACAGCCGCATTCTGAACGTTCTAAATTACCCCACTAATTAGAAATTATATCCCTATATGTTATGTTTTTGTAAGTATTAATCCAATTGCTGTTTAAACATCTGTATGGACTCGGATAAAACCACTTCTTCAGGAAGATAATTCCATATCCTTATTGCTCTTACTGTTAAAAAAAACTTTTCTTTGCCTTAGATTAAATCTCCTTTCTTCCAGTCTAAATGTGTGACCTCGTGTCCTATGTATAGCCCTGTTTATGAATTAATTTTCCAGATAATGGTTTGTACTGGGCCCGAATATATTTGTATAATGTTATCATATCCCCTCTGAGGTGCAGTTTTTCCAAATGAAAGAGATTTACATCTTTTAACCTTTCTTCGTAACTAAAATGCTCCATTCCTTTAATCAATTTTGTATATATATAATTCCTGCTTGGTGTTTTTATCATGATTACATTTTCACTTTGTCATATTTGTTGATTTATCACCTAGTTAACCACGATAACTCTGCGAGCGTCATTATGTCATAACGACACTTGCGGCTTCCCGTCACTTCTGGGTTGGAATCAGTTTGCGGCCCACATAAACTTAAACCTTGTTTTTTTTGCCCACGTTAGCCTTTGAGTTTGACATACCTGTTGAAGATTAATGATACATATGTATTTATTCCTTCACTTCACATTCTTTTTACATATCACCATCCATTTTTCACAGTAGTTTATCACAGTAGTTTTTCACAGTAATAAGTATTTATTTCCTTTCACTGTTTAGTTTGGGGTGCCTCACTGTTTTTATGTGTTCACACTTACATTTTTATTTTCTTATTTTTCTCTTGTTTTCTTTTTCTCCTCTTTCTAAATCCCTATTCTTATTCACATTACACATTCACCATATTCTCTTCTTACACACACACTTCTATCTTATTCTCTGGTCACACTCTCTTATATTGTTTCTCAAAATTTCTTTTACACCTGGGAAACACCTACTCTAGTTTGGAATACACTAGCATTATATTTTTTATTTCCTCTTATATTGGGATAGCTCCTGTGAATTTAATCCCTATGGTCCTCTTTTGCTGATTTTAACTTTATTTCTTGGGTTGCTTGCGCACTTGTTGGCATGCAGCTCACATATGCCTATTCTGTTGCCATGGCTACAGGACACGACATTATACGCACGTCCTGACGCCGCAAGAGCATGTCATTATGTCATCACGCATGCACACATGGGGCACGTCCGGTTTGCCCGGCGCTGGGCCTGGGGATTAGCGGTTTACACCTCAACTGGGTAAGTCACTTATTATCCCCCCCCCAAAAAAAAGACAAGTGTTGGGCTTAAATCATACTTTACATTGAATTTGTAGTAAATTCTGAAATAAATTACAAATACACTATAGTGCAGATTATCCTTTTTCATTAAATAATATATTACAGTGTTTACAGCAAAAAGCCTGAAGGGAATGATTATAAAAACCAGAACAAATATAATAAGCTGTAGTTGTTCTCGTGACTATATTGTCCATTTAAGCTAAATTTGTTTTGCTGGCTATGTGTCGCTTTAACATTTAATCAATAGTCTCCATAAAATGTTGATGTAATAACTGGCTGTGTTTTTCCTTAGTTGAACTTTCATCAGGACAAACAGATAACAATAGACAAGTGACGTTTTATATACCCAAAAAAATAAAGTAAATTGAGTACTTACCATCCCCACTTATGCAGCGTTCAAGCAGCTGTTGCCTGGCGCAAGTACCTGGAGTGAGGCGTGAGTGTTCAGATAGCTCCAATCAATTAAGTCAGTCCATTTGCGTTCCACCGTGTATCCATAGCAACGAACGTAGCAAAATTCCTCTAGAAGAGTGGACTCACTCGTTACACAGCGACAGAGCCTCCTGCTGTTCAGTGAGGCTTCTGTTGTCAAGGCCAGTTGAACGAAGGCTGTAGCAAGCCTATATATATATATATATATATAAATATATATGTATATATTAAATCAATGGGTCGATTCCATGGGCATGGGCCTATTCCATAGATAGGCATGGGTCCGGAGCTTCAGCTCCATTAGCCCCTATGTTAAAGGAACACTATAGTGTCTCTATGGAGATAAAAGGTTTTTAACTTACCTTTTGTCTGCCAGTGTCCCCTTGGCTGGCCCCACCTCCATGGCCGAGATCATCACCCTTGATAATCTCAGCCAATCCAATTCCATATGAAAACATTTTGAGGCTATTGTGCACGTGCGACAAAACACAGTGCTGTGCCAATCAACATCTCCACATAGAGATGCATTGAATCAGTGCATTTCTATTGGAAATGTCCGGAGAAGTGCACAAGTTCAGAATCTCAAGACTGTGCAGCACTGCACTAGAAAGCACCTCTAGTGGCCGTCTAACACTAGAGGTGTTACTTGGCAGCAATGTAAACACTGCCTTTTCTATGAAAAGGAGGTGTTTACATTGAAAAGCCTCCTGGGACAGGCTGTAGACACTAGAACAATAAGCTGTAGTGCTTCTGGTGACTACAGCATCCCTTTAATCTAGCCCTGGGTGGGGGCTATCATTATAATAACCAGGCAGGCTGGATTTCCTATTAGGCAGAAGAGGCACCTGTCCTGTACGGGGTGGTTGCTTAGCCTGTTAAAATCCCCCTCCCTAACACCTGTCCTGTTTCTGCTGGCTGCAGGACTCTGGGATCGCTGCATTCAGTCCGAAGAGCCTGCTCTGCGCAAGGCTCCGTCCCTTAGACCGAACACAGTGATCTGTGCATGGCTCCGCCCCCTCAGACTGAACACAGGGCTTGGCGCATGGCCCCTCCCCTTAGACTGAATACAGCGATCTGCAGGAAGGAGAGGGAAGAGGGTTAGGACAGCTCAGAAATCAAAGGAACCCACAGTGCTTGCAAATACTGCACTAGCCAGCCAAAATGGAAAATGAGGAGGGAAGGGAATGCATTTATGCTAGATGCAGGCAGCTGCAATGTGACGTTACCTGCATTGAACCCTATGGGGAGATGTGAGTGCAGTCACAGCTTCATTACCGCAGGAGCCTCAAAAGCATTGATTCAATGTTATCCTACGGGGAAAGCTTCAATGCGCACATAGCACTCGCCAGGGCAGGGACTCTTTAGCGTTAGGAATACAGGTTTGTATTGCTGCTGCTATAGTGAGTATTCCTTTAATGAAATATAATGGAGGAGTAGAGATCTCAGAATCACCATGCTTTACTGAACCCATATTCTTTTTTCATGATGATGGACAGGACATGAAAATTGCTCCCCTCAGTTAATAAAATTCATGTGCTGCTCGGGAATGGGAATCTATAAAGATGGAATGCATTCCATCTTGCAGTATATGAATTCTAACTACTGCAGCACTTTTCATGCCCTGCCCATCAGAATGAGGGAATACCTACTAAAACATGGTGGCGCTGGCACCCTGCAAAAAAAGACACAGGACAGACTGCCCATTACCTGGCTGAAGTATCTTTTGACTTAAAAAGCCCTCAGTGAA